TCCCCCTCCCTCTCCCTCTCCCTCTCCCTCTCCCTCTTTCTAAAATCAATAAACAACAAATAAAAGCATACGCTCTGAACTGGGCATGTGCCCGACCAGGAATCGAACCCTGACCTCCTGTTCATAGGTCGACGCTCAGCCCCTGAGCCCCCGGGCGGGCGACGCGCCCAGCGTGCTCCTGTACTAAGTGGGACCTGGGGCGTGGCTCTGCTCATGGGGGCGGCAGGCACGCCAGCGGCCCCCTCGCTGCTCCCAGTTCCGCGTCTCTGGGCAGCGCCCGGGATGGACTCCTCTTGCTGTGTGAGAACGTGGCTGGCGCCGTGGGTGCTTCTGTAAACACTCGACATTTCTGCGGCTCTGAAGGCATTTCTGTCCGCCCCCCCCCTTCCCACTTAAACAAAAACAGACCCTCAAGGACCCCTGGGCCAGGCCACCCTCTCCCATGCTCTCAGAATGCAGCTCCGACCTCCAACCCAGGGCTCCCTGCAGAAGGGCACGGCGACCCTCATTCCTCCAGGCGGCCTGCGGGGGGCTCTGGAACGTTCCGGAACTTGGCACTTGTAAAGGTCACTGTGACATGTGCGGTTTCCTCCTAGTAAGTCCTGCTGGCCCTGGAGAGCCCTGGCTGTCCTCTCTTTAGCTCTGGGGTGGTTCTTTTTATCACTTTTTTAAAAATACTTTTTAAAAATTTATTTCAGAGAGGAAGGGATGGGGAGAGAGAGAGAAACATCACGGATCGGCTGCCTCCTGCACGCCCCACACCAGGCACGGAGCCCCAACCCGGACCTGTGCCCTGACCTCCCGGGACCCGAACCAGTGCCTCTCGGTTCCTGGGTCGATGCCCAGCCACGGAGCCACGCCGGCCGGGCCGGGTCTTGGCTTCTAAGTACCGTTTTCCGCGAAGGGGGAGCAGGCTCCCGGGAGCCGGGCTGGGCCCAGAGCTGAGGAAGGGGGGTGCTGGGATGGGCCTGGAAACTCTTGATTTTCAGGAGGTGACGAGCAAGCTGCTCACAAAACGACGAGCATTGATCATCCCGACAGAAGCCAGCTCGCAGGGGCGCCTGCTGGCGACCTCGGGGCCGGGTTTAGCATCCAAATAAGCAGGTGCTCCTACGTCGGTGTGCTCAGTGGGTGGAGCGTCGGCCTGAGGACCGAAGGGTCCCGGGTTCGATTCTGGTCAAGGGCACGTACCTGGGTTGCAGGCTCCTGCCCGGCCTGGGCCCTGGTTGGAGCTCGTGCAGAAGGCGACCCATCGATGTGTTTCTCTCACATCGGTGTTTCTCTGTCTCTCCCTCTCTCTTCCACTCTCCCTGAAAATCAATGGAAACGTATCCTCGGGTGAGGATTAAAAATAAACAAATAAATAAAAGAAAAAGAAAAAGAAAGTAAGTAGATGGTAACAGTCGGTTGAAATGTATTTATTCGTTCACTCCTGGTGGAGGAGAAAGCCTTGTTGGCGGTAAATGTAGACGATGACGGACGTAGAACATGGTCACCTAGAATCACAGCACAGTGCCCCCCCCCCCCAGCCACGGGGACACATCCCAGGACCCCAGGGGATGCCTGAAACCACAGGTAACACCGAACCCCATACGGACTATGTGTTTGCCTACAGACATGCCCGCGATGAAGTGTCATGGATACAGGAGCCCAGTGAGATTCCCAACAATAGCCAGGAATAAAACCACCACCATGACCACACGCTCCAAAAAACGTTCTGTGGCCGTGGCCCCTCCCTCCCTCTCTCCCGCAGAAAGGCTCCTGCGCTGGGCTCGCCTCGTCCTGTGATGATGCGAGGAGACACGCTGGCTGCCTACGTGACCGGATGCAGGGAGGCGACGCCTTGGGCACTGGGCAGCAGGAGGCCGCTGTGACCTCTGACCCTGGAGAATGGCCAGCATCGCTGCTCCCCTGCTCCGGGGCCTTGGACCTGAGCAAGGGCACAGATTTCTCCGGCAGCGTGGGCGTCCGCAGAGGCGTGCTGCTGGGGTCGCGAGGGCCATGGGGAGCCAGCAAGGGCCGAGGGACTGTTTCACGGACGTCGGTGGACAGCTCCTTGGAGGACGAGGGGGTGGGGTGCCCCGGTTCCCGGCGGCCGAGTTAGCCTGGTGCGGCGACCGCCTATCTGATAAGCGAGGGCCACTGGGTGACTCACTGGCGGGGAACGTCTGCGGCTGGAGACCCTGGGGACCCTGGACGGGGTGAGTCAGGCCCCGGCGGGACGGAACCGGGGCCTGAGATTTCATCAAACTGCTCAGAACGGCTAGCGTTGTGCGCGTGTGAGTTGTTCGTTCTGGGTTTGCGCCTCATGTTGCTGGACCACGTCGACCTGGCCGACCGGACCGTGCAGACCGCCCGCTGATGCTCAGTGAGGCTGTGACGGGTAACAGGACACACAGGTCCTTCCCCACAAAGTAGGAATGACAAGGGCCACACGCTCACCTCACAACGTGTGACACGGGCACGGGCGTGTGCCACACAAGCGGTCAGTGTTGACCTGCTGTGTGGACTGTGGCCAGGCCTTGATCGGGGCCCTGGTTTTCCCGTGGCCCCTCCGTCCCAGGACCCACCGGGACCCGCGTCCAGCGGTCCCCACGCCTCCTCGCGCCCCGGGGCCGGGCCGGTCTCTCGGACTCACTGGCTTTGAGGAGACTGGGCCGGTGTTTGCAGGGTGAGCTCTGTGGGGGTTTGTGCCGCGATTAGACTGGGGTTGTGCATTTTGGGGAGAACCCAGGGTGCCCTTCTCATCTCGTCCTGTCAGGGCACACGCCCTCAGCACCGCCTGTCCCTGGGGGCTGACCCTGACCGCCTGGCTGAGGCGCGCTGGTCAGGTTGTGCCCATCTGTCCTGCACCCTGCAGAGGAGAAGGAGGCCCCTGGCACAGCCCCCAGGGGTGCAGTGTGGCCCCTCCCCAGTGGGGTGCCCAAACTCAGCATGTGGGGTGCTCTTGCACGGCCACTTGCCGCTCCCTCCTCATCCCGTGTCTCACCAGCCCCCTGTTCGTGCCGGTGGCCCCGGGCATGTGCGGTCCGACGCGGCCTTGCCCAGTTTTGCACACATTGTTCCAGTTGTGGCCCCTGGGAGCTTCCATTTGGCTCATGTGACCACAGTTTTCAATTAACCAGTTACTCACTGGCTGGGGGGGAGGGGATGAGGTCCCTGGGCAGCAAATAACATGTTACACACATGCAGATGTGCATCACACATGCACACTCACAGGTAAGCACACATGTACACAGGCACACACCCGAGCATGTGAACACATGCACACAGGTGCACGCCTATGCACATGCACACACACGGGCATGTGAATACATGCACACACGCACACTCACAGGTGCACACACATGCACACCTATGCGTATGCACATGAATACATGCACATGTACACAGACACAGAAACGCACACTCAGTGTACACACATGCACACATGCACAGGCATGTGAACACAGGCATGCACTCACACAGGCACATGAATGCTAGTATGTGCGCACACATATGCACATACACACACGTGCGCACAAACACATGTATACTCCCACTTGCACACTTTGAGGTCTGCATTTCCATGGAAATGAAGACAGGAGGCAGCCTAGGCCTGACCCTCCAGACGGGCCCAGGGAGGGGACGGGAACCTGTCCGCTGGGCCAGCCCCTTGGAGCTGCAGCTGCTGCCGTAGGGCCCTCCTGTCTCCCACAGGCCGCCCGGGGGGAGGGGGCTGTGGCCGCTGCAGGTGTCCAGGGGAGAGGGCGAGGGGCTGAGGGCCGGGCAGCGCCAGTGGCTTCCTCAGAAGCCACTGCCTAGGGCAGAGGGGGAGTCGGAGAGGAGGGTGTGGCTCACCTAGAGGACAGAGGTGCTGGTGCCTGGAGCCTGCCAGTGGGCACAGGAAAAGGGGCGTGGTCAGAGGCCTGGTCAGCTCCCCCGTGGCCGGTCCCAGGGGAGCCCGGTTATCTGCCCACAGAGGGGTTTGGGGCGGCTTTGGGAGGACACCAGAGGCCATCTTTGTGAAGTGCCGAGCACACAGTGGGTGCTCAGCAGGGGCAGGTCGGGACCCCAGGCCTGGCTCTCACCCCAACGGTTTCTCCCCGTGGGACACGCTGCTCTCCTCCCGAAGCAGAAGTGGGCAGACCCCGCCGAGTGGCTCGTCCCCGGGGAGAGGGCTCGGGCCCAGCCCCCGCCGCCCACACCCGGATGCACCCCTCGGTCACACCTGCGCCCGCCCCGGCCACGCCTGGGGCCACACCACAGGCCCGTGGCGGGGGATCCCCTCGAGCCCCTGTGGGCCAGGGCGGGGCCAGGAGCTCCCCGCAGTGCCAGACGCAGGAGAGCAGCTCAGCCCCAGAGGCGAGCCGCACGCACGGGCGGCCACACCCCGTGCAGGGGCCCTCGGAGCGAACCGGCCAGGCCTGGACCCAGATGGTGGTTTCACAGCATGTCCCCTCCGCCCATGTTGGCCCCCAGTGGCCCACTCAGCAGGGCCCCTCCCTCGGGTCCCATCAGGGGCCCACGTGGGTGCGAGTGAGCCCCCCTCGTGCCCTCAGGACGGCTCTGCTCCACGTTACTCATCGTGCTTCTGTGGCATCGAAAATCAGGTTCCCTTTTCCGAAATGTCATTGTGACAAACGTGTCGCAGAAGACAGTACTTCCAGAGTGAGGTCCCAGCGAGGCCTGCTCCCAGTGCCCCCCCCCCCCCCCGCCAGGACTGGGGCCGGGGCAGGACTCGCACACTCCCCAGACAGGGAGCTCACCCCCTACCCAGGCGCCCTCTCCTGCTCACCCACCTCCTCCCAAGGTGTCCTCGTGGCCACTCCTGGAACCAGGCCGTGTCCTGCTGGGCCAGGCTGGGGCAGCCAGGGTGGCAGCGCTGGCCTCGCCGCCCCTCCCCTTCCCGCCCGCCCTTCCGGGCACCCGCTCAGTCCTCGGGGTGTGTTGACAGGTGGGCGGGCTCAGTCTACCTCCTGGGAGGGCAGCTGTGGCTGAGGTCCCGCCCAGCTGAAACCCCAGGGGAAGGGAGAGGGGGCAGGGAGGGAGGAGAAGGGAGGAGAGGAGAGGCGACCACCATGGGCCCTCGGAGTCGAGTCAGGGTGGCCAAATGCCAGATGCTGGTCACCAGCCTCTTTGTCCTGGTAACAGGCAGGTTGGGGGGGAGGGGAGGGCTCAGGGGAGAGGGTGGCAGCCTTGTGACTAGGCCTCCAGCACGGCGGCTCCCCCACATTGGGGTGGCTGCCCCTGTGGGTGGTGTCTGCGCCCCCACCGGACAGCCAAATGCTTGGAGGAGGCCTGGGTGGCGGGTGCACTGGGGTGAATGGGGGTGATGCCTGGGGGTTGCTCTCACAGGGAGGACCGGGGCAGGGACTGGGGGGCCCACTCCCCACTGTGCAGAGTGAGCCGAGGCCCCTGGTTGTGTCTTTGTGGGTGTGTGTCAGGGTGTGTGTGTGCCAGGGTGTGTGTGTGTCAGGGTGTGTGTGTGCCAGGGTGTCTGTGTGTGTGTGTGTCAGGGTGTGTGTGTGCCAGGGTGTGTGTGTGTCAGGGTGTGTGTGTGCCAGGGTGTGTGTGTGTCAGGGTGTGTGTGTGCCAGGGTGTCTGTGTGGGTGTGTGTCAGGGTGTGTGTGCCAGGGTGTGTGTGTGTCAGGGTGTTGTGTGCCAGGGTGTGTGTGTGTCAGGTCAGGGTGTGTGTGTGCCAGGGTGTGTGTGTGTCAGGGTGTGTGTGCCAGGGTGTCTGTGTGTGTGTGTGTCAGGGTGTGTGTGTGTCAGGGTGTGTGTGTGCCAGGGTGTGTGTGTGTCAGGGTGTGGTGTGTCCAGGGTGTGTGTGTGCCAGGGTGTCCTGTGTGTGTGTGTGTCAGGGTGTGTGTGTGCCAGGTGTGTGGTGTGCCAGGGTGTCTGTGTGTGTGTGTGTCAGGGTGTGTGTGTGCCAGGGTGTGTGTGTGTCAGGGTGTCTGTGTGTCAGGGTGTCTGTGTGGGTGTGTGCTGGGGTGCCTGTGCCGGGGGAATCTGTGTGTGTTGGGGGTACCTGGGCAAAGGCCTCCCTGAGACCACCCCAGGGGCATGCCTGGAGCTGAGCCTGTCTCGTGTGAGACCAGGAGGCTGGAGGGAGCCCCACTCTGGTTCTGCGCCCCCAGCTGCTGGGCCTCCTGGCGGCCACCATGGCGGCTCTCACCTACTTCGGAGCCCACTTCGCCGTCTTCAGCCGTGTGTCCCCGGAGGGCTCCTCCTACCCGGCCCTGCACCGCGGGGGTAAGTGAGGCTGGGGAGCCAGGCAGCCGTGAGGGAGCCTGGCTGGGGTGCAGCCCCCAGAGGGGTGGGCCTGGGACAGGCAGCAGGTCTCTGGCCACAGTGACCAGAGGGGGTGTCCCCGCAGAGGGGGGTTCAGCCCTGGAGTGAGGGTCCTTGAGCAGCTCACAGGGACAGTGTCCCTCCAGGGCTCGACCTGGGGTGCAAGCACCGAGGAGGGGGCGGGGGGTGGGGAGTGAGGCCCAGCCCCAGCCTGTGCCCCGAGGCCCCGCGTCAGCCTTAACCCTGAGCCCCAGCCGCCCTGCAGGAAGCCTGGGTCTGGGCTGATAAGGGGCAGCCCCGTGGCCACCTGCTCCTGGGGGGAGGGCGGGGGGGTGGGCATGTGCTCCAGAGGCTCCAGCCAGCAGGGCAGGACGCAGAGGTGCGGGCAGGGCCTCCTCCCTCCCTCGGGCCCTTCTGAGCGCGGGCTCAGGGTTGTGGCCGGAGGCACGTCCCCGCCTGATAGGGAGACAGGGCTCCCCAAAGTCCCGCAGCCCCCCTAACCCTCCTCTCTCTGCGCACCCAGCCTTCTTCGCAGGGATCAGCCTGGCCGGGCTCCTCACCCTGGGGGCCGTGCTGAGTGCCGCAGCCACCGTGCGGGAGGCCGGGGGCCTCATGGCCGGGGTGAGTCCTCCATGCCCAGCCCCCGGCCCCCCAGGTTGGAATCCAGAGTGTCAGGACTGTAAGCCCAGGGAGCCTCTCCCCACAGCGGCCTGACAGTGAATGGAGGTGTGAGACCCGCCAGGCCCCGCCCCTAGACACCAGGCCGGCCCCGCCCCTTAGACACCAGGCAGGCCCCGCCCCTAGACACCAGGCCGGCCCCGCCCCTAGACACCAGGCCGGCCCCGCCCCCTAGACACCAGGCAGGCCCCGCCCCCTAGACACCAGGCCGGCCCCGCCCCCAGACACCAGGCAGGCCCCTCCCCCTAGACACCAGGCAGGCCCCGCCCCCTAGACACCAGGCCGGCCCCGCCCCTAGACACCAGGCAGGCCCCTCCCCTAGACACCAGGCAGGCCCCGCCCCCTAGACACCAGGCAGGCCCCGCCCCCAGACACCAGGCAGGCCCCTCCCCCTAGACACCAGGCAGGCCCCGCCCCCTAGACACCAGGCAGGCCCCGCCCCCTTAGACACCAGGCAGGTCCCACCGCCTAGACACCAGGCCGGCCCCGCCCCTAGACACCAGGCCGGCCCCGCCCCCTAGACACCAGGCAGGCCCCGCCCCCTAGACACCAGGCCGGCCCCGCCCCTAGACACCAGGCAGGCCCCTCCCCCTAGACACCAGGCAGGCCCCGCCCCCTAGACACCAGGCCGGCCCCGCCCCCAGACACCAGGCAGGCCCGCCCCCTAGACACCAGGCAGGCCCCTCCCCCTAGACACCAGGCAGGCCCCGCCCCCAGACACCAGGCCGGCCCGCCCCTAGACACCAGGCCAGCCCCGCCCCAGACACCAGGCCGGCCCCGCCCCCTAGACACCAGGCAGGCCCCGCCCCCTAGACACCAGGCAGGCCCCGCCCCCAGACACCAGGCAGGCCCCGCCCCCTAGACACCAGGCAGGCCCCGCCCCCAGACACCAGGCCGGCCCCGCCCCCTAGACACCAGGCAGGCCCCGCCCCCAGACACCAGGCAGGCCCCGCCCCCAGACACCAGGCCGGCCCCGCCCCCTAGACACCAGGCAGGCCCCGCCCCCAGACACCAGGCAGGCCCCGCCCCCAGACACCAGGCAGGCCCCGCCCCCTAGACACCAGGCAGGCCCCGCCCCCAGACACCAGGCAGGCCCCGCCCCCTAGACACCAGGCAGTCCCCTCCCCCTAGACACCAGGCAGGCCCCTCCCCCAGGGCAAGGACTCCTCCACCCAAACCAGTCAGGGTCCCCCTAAGTTGACCAGCCACAACCCTCCCTGGCCCTGCTTCCGGCGGGGATCACCCGGGGCCATGAGAGGCGGAGCTGGCTCCCAGGCCTGGGTGCCATTCCCAAAGGCCAGGGGGGACGGCGGGGGGGTGGGGGTGGGGTAGGGAGTCCGGTTCCGTTAGACGGAGGCCAGGGTCTCAGGTGAGTTTCCTCTCCTGTTAGAAGAGGCCAGCGAGGCAGCAAAAGGCGCCCTGCCCGTCCATCACCTGAGGTCTGGGCGGAGCTGTGGGCCCAGGTGGACGGCACCCCGGTTCTCCTGAGCCCCACACCGCCCTGTGCAGCTATCGGAGGGGCCTCCCCCGCCCCCAAGGCCCCACAGGCCCCACAGCAGTGGCCTGTGTTGCCCCCAAACCTGCCCCCCGGTCCCCACAGACCTGTGCCCGCAGGGCTCGGGCTCCCCCTCTCTCCCCTGGTGCCCGTGCTCCCACCTGCTCCCCCAGCTCCCACCTGGCGCGGGTTCAGTGCCCAGGTATAGAGGGTCCAGCCCCCCTCTATTCCAGCCAGGAGGCCCCTGCTTTGCTGCCTCCAGCCCTGGGGGCCGGAGACCCTGGAAGCCAGTGGCAGCGGGGGTGGGGGGGTGCTGTGCTTCCCCAGCCGGTGTCCGAGCCCCAGGGCTGTCGGGTTCTTGCCCCGCCTGTGCCATCCATGCTTGCTGAGTGACTCCTGGTTGTAACCTTCTCCGAGGGCAGGGACAGGGCCACCCCCTGGAGTTGTGGCCCCAGCCCCAACCCGGGCCCCGCGGGCAGGACAGGGCGGGGCAGGGCCGGATGGGTGTCTGGCTGGCGCCAGAGCCCAGGGCAGCGATTTTCAACCCGTGGCACCTGGTGCGCAGCGAGAAATGTACAACATGCTACATCTGGCTCTGGCACTGACCTCTGACCCCTAAGGTTGTCAAATAAAAAATGGCAATGGGGCCCTCGCCTCCGCTCAGTGGATAGAGCGTCAGCCTGCGGACTGAAGGGTCCCAGGTTCGACTCTGACCAAGGGCACGTGGCTGGGTTACGGGCTCCATCACCCCCCAGTAGGGGACGTGCAGGAGGCAGCCGATCAATGATTCTCTCTCATCATTGATGTTTCTATCTCTCTATTTCTCTCCCTTCGTCTCTGAAATCATAAAAAAATATATTTTACTAGGTGGACTGGTTAATAATGCAGATTTTTTTCAATAGATGGAGTTATACATACGTTGACATATATGCGATTTGATATGTATGCCATTTTGTTATATTGACAACAAGCTTCAAAACTTCATATGTCAAATTTGCTGAAAGTGTTAACATCATAGATATTTTTACGCTTAAAAATGTCAAATTTCGTGCAAAAAAAAGAGCATTTGCATGAAGTTCTAATTCATTATTTTGAAGAGAAGTGCTGCTGAAAGAGATCGTATACTTCAGGAAGCTTATGGTGAACATGCTCCATCTCAAGATGCTTGTGAACGCTGGTTTAAACGCTTTAAAGGTGATGATTTCGATGTGAAAGACAAAGAACGTCCAGGTCAACCGAAAAAGTTTGAAGACCGACAATGACAAGCATTATTGGATGAAGATGCGTGTCAAACTCAGAAACAACTCGCAGAAAGATTAAACGTAGCTCAGCAAACAATTTCCAAATGTTTACAAGCAATGGGAAGGTTTTAAAGGAAGGAAAATGGGTGCCACATCAACTGAACGAAAGACAAATGGAAAACTGAAAAGTCATCAGTAGAATGTTGCTTCAAGGGCACGAAAGAAAAATTTTTTTGCATCGAATTGTGACTGGCGATGAAAAGTGGATTTATTTTGAGAATCCCAAACGCACAAAATCATGGGTTGATCCAGGTCAACCATCAACATTGACTGCAAGGCCAAATCGCTTCGGAAAGAAGACAATGCTCTGCGTTTGATGGGGTCAGGAAGGTGTGGTGCATTATGAGCTTCTCAAACCAGGTGAAACCATTAAAACTGATCGCTACCGACAACGAATTATCAATTTAAACCACGCTTTGATCGTCAAACCACCAGAATGGGCCAGAAGACACGGCAAAGTAATTTTGCTTCGTGATGACGCACCATCACACACTTCAAACCAGTTAAAGACACGTGAAAAGATCTTGCCTGGGAAGTATGAACCCACCCGCCGTGTTCACCAGCCCTCGCTCCCCCAGATGACCATTTGTTCCGATCGAGGGCACACGCGCTTTCTGAGCGGCACTTCAACACGGACGAAGACGTGGAAAATGGGGTCTCTGAATGGTCCGCCTGAAAACAAGAAAAGTTCTATTGGGACGGTCTCCACAAATTCCCTGAAAGATGGGGGATGTGTAGCTAGCGACAGACATTACTTTGTACAAAGCACTTTTGATGTTTCTCTTGAAATTATGGTGTTTTCTTTGATTACAAACTCCGCATTACTAACCGGTAAAGGCTGAACCGCATTATTAACCAGTATCCGCGTTATTAAGTGGTATCTGCATTATTAACCGTTACACCTAGTAAAGAAAATACAACGGCCAACACAATAGCCGTCAGGTGCGAATGCATCAGAATCACACCTTTCCGTTTCTTGTCACATCGGCAGGATATAGAAGTCTTTCTGGTGTGCCACAAAATGTTATTGCTTATCTTACGTGCCATGAGGTGACGGAGGTTGAGAATCGCTGACCTAATCGCTGAGCCAGGCGCTGGAGGGCGGGAAGCCAGCCAAGCAGGGGCCTGCCCCCCAGAGGGGAGCCCTCGGGTGAGGGGCCAGCCAACGGGGCGCACAGGAGGGCAGGCTGCCCGCAGCGGGCAGAGCAGGTGTGGAGCCCCGGGGAGGAGGCCTGCAGAGGCCAGCAGTGGCCGCCAGGGGGCGACGTGGTGCTGGCTTAAGGCAGCAAACCGGGTTGCTTGTCTGGGGAGCCCAGGCCTGTTCTCAGCTGAGCCAGGCACCAGGGTGTCCCCAGCTCCCCTGACCCCTGACCTCTGCGGGCAGCGCCTGGGACGGCAGCAGGGCTGTTCCGTGGGTCTGTCCCGTCCCTGCCCGCGGCCCCCAGGCTGGCCCGTGGGTGCTGGACCGCCTGGCTCGCAGATACCCACTCACTACGCTGCCTGCGTGCGTGTGCGTGTGCGTGTGCGTGTGCGTGTGCGTGCGTGTGTGAGCACATGTGAAGCAGTTGGGGCGCGGGGAGATCTTTCCCAAAGGGACAGGCGCCCGGCGGCCCCCCTTCCTGCCCCCGCCCCGGCCTCTCCCCAGAGCGGCTCCGGGACAGGAAGCCAGTGAGCCTGCAGGCGGAGCCCAGGCTGCCGGTGGCTGGAGGAAGCCGTGTCCGTGTGGAATGAGGACAAGGAAACCCTGGCCACACCAGCAGCCCGAGCCCCGGGAGGCCTTGGGGTCCGTGGCCCCTCCTCTGCCCAGCACCCCTTCTGCAGGGGCGGGAGCCGTGGGGGGAGAGGCCCCCTCGGAGGAAATGCCGCGCCCGGAGCTGGCTCGGGGCCCCGGCCTGGGAGGCAGCCTTGAGCGATGGTTTCCAGATGGGGAAGGTGGCCCTCAGCCAGCCAGGGAGGAGGAGGAGGGAGAGGAAGGGAGAGGAGAGAGAGGAGGGAGGAGGGAGGTGAGGAGGAGGCGGTAGAGGGAGGAAGAGGGGGAGGAAGGAGAGAGGAGAATGGGGGGAAGGGAGGGGGCGGAAGGAGGAGGCACCCTCCAGGCCTGCAGGCTCCTGGGCAGGCGGAGGGCGGGGAAGAAGGCGGGCGGTCTACATCGGGCGAGTGGGCCCTGCGCCCACACTAGAGTTTGGGGGCTGGTGGGTGGTCCGCCCTTTCACAGAGCCACCCCAACACACACACACACACACACACACACACACACACGAGCTATTTCTCTGCCCCGCCTGGCCTGGCCGGTGTCTGTGTGTCTGTCTGCATCTGCGGGCACCTCGCTGGTCAATTGGTCATGGACTCCCAGGTGTCTCCCCCAAGCAGGGTGGCCGCGTGCCCCCGGCTGCGGGCAGTCCCGGAGGGAGGGGGGAGTCCGAGTCAGCCAGGCAGCCCACTCCGTGTGCCCTCACTCAGGGCGGGGAGGGGGTGCCGAGTGTGGCTTGGGCCTGTGGACGCTGCAGACACGGGGGTGTGGTCAGGGGCCGGACCGGCCGGGCTGTCTGTGGTGACCCTCTGCCGGCCCCACCGAGGGCTCAGGGGCACGAGTGCTTTGTCAGGGGAGGGTCCCCATGTTCAGTGGCTTCTGCAAGTTCAGAGCCTGACCCCCGAGAAAGAGGCAGAGAGGCAGGCGTGGCTGGACCCATGGTCTCCAGGGACCGCCGCCTCCAACACTGGGGTCCTGGCCGTGGTCAGAGTGAGGGGACTGGGGCCCATGGCCTTGGGGAGGAGCAGGGTGTGACGAAGGGAGGGTGTGACCTGGGCAGGTCCCACCTGGCCTGAGCTGTCCCCACCTGAGGGTTGCAGCCGGGGGAGCCCAGCTGCAGAGGTTTTCAAAAACAAAACCAGCCCCGCCGGCGGGGCTCAGGGTTTGAGCGTCGACCTAGGAACCAGGAGGCCACGGTTCGATTCCCCATCAGGGCACAGGCCCGGGTTGCGGGCTCCATCCCCAGTGTGGGGCGTGCAGGGGGCAGCCGATCCATGATTCTCTCTCGTCATGGATGTTTCTCTCTCTCCCTCTCCCTTCCTCTCTGAGATCAACCAAAATTTATTTAAAAAAACAAACAAACAAAAGATAAGCCAGCTGTCCCTGCTGAGGCCTGGCCATTGCAAGGGGCAGGTCCTCCCAGGCCCAGGCCCAGGTCTAGGGACGGCTCTGCCTGGCTCTCCCCGGGGCAGGACCCCTCTCCCCCCGGGGCCGTCGCAGTGGGCAGGGTCCGTCAGGCCAGGGATCCCCTCCATCCTGGGCCAGGAGGTGGGTGGGGTGGGCGCTACCAGTGACAGCCCGAGGGCCAACACCAGCAATGGCAGAGGTTCCCGAGAGCGGCCAGGGGAGGGGAGCCGTGTGCCTGCCCGGGCGTGGGGAGCGGGGCTCAGGGCTCCTGACCCACGGGCACCCCTCTCCCCAGGGCTTCCTGTGCTTTGCCCTGGTCTTCTGTGCCCTGGTGCAGGGCGCCTTCTGGAGGCTCCGCAACCCCACCCAGGTGAGTGCCCTCCACCCACCCAAGCAGAGGCCATGGCTGCTCCCGGCCCCGTCTCTAGAGGAGAGATGGGCAGGCGGTTGGGGACCAATGAGGGGCCCTTCTCCGCCTGGGGGTCGGGTGGGGCAGCAGCTCCCAGGAGAAGGAGGGGAGGCAGGTACAGGCCTCAGACCCCCCACAACTAGGGCCCCTCATTCCTGCCCCCTCCTGGCCCAGGAAGATGGCTCCCAGGAGTTGGGGGAAGGGAGGGGGGGGGCTGTCCCCCTCAGGGGTGGATTTGGGGGAGTCAGTTTCCCGAAGATGCACTGAGGGGTCTGCATCCCGATGGGGCCCTCGGGGCAGTGCCAGGGCCGCTGGGAGGAGGGTGGGCAGGGTGATGGAGATGGCTGCCGGGTGATGGGGGCGGAGTTCGTGCTGTGTGCTGTTAGGTGTGTGACCACCCTCTCTGGTCCTTGCTGTCCTCACCCTCAGAAACCGGCCTTGTCTCCCTCATGGCTCCTTGGAGTCCAGGGGGCTGCGTGGCCCAGCCTCTGAGTGTGGCGGTCACCCCAAGCCTGCGCGTGGAAGGACACAGGCCCAGAGGGGGAGGGCTCACCCCGGCAGAGCCCAGGCTCATGGCCCCAAGTCAACGCCTTTTCCCTGCCCTGCCCCAGGGTCGCCCCAGACGGCCTCCCACGCTGGCATCACTCGGGGTCACTGTCCTGTGACCAGATCAGGAAAAGGACACCCCCCTGGCTTTTGGGGGGCTCGAAGCCCCTAAGAGGCGGCCGTGGCTCTCGGAGGGGCAGGCCAGCCGTCTTGCTTGGACTGCATTGGGGCTCACGTCACCCATCCCCCCAGCAATGGTCTGGGTCACAGTGTGGGTGGTCCCGGTCCAGACAGCTGCCAGGGCGCCCTGGGCCTGCCCAGCTCTCGGGGTAGCCACCACCCCTCCACCCTCTCCTCTCGGGGGAGACCCTGCTGCAGGGACCGGCCACAGGCCGGCGTCCAGCTGGGCTCCCGCCAGCTCAGGGGGAGGCAGAGCTGAGGGCTCCCAGCTGGGCCTCTTCCCTGTCCCACCCCTGCCACCCACCCCCACACGAATGCCCTGGTCTGGCCCATGCTCTGACCGACGCTCGGGGTCACTTCGGGGCCCTGCTTGACCCCGGGCCACGGTTGGATGGACCCCACCTGCCGTCCGGGCGGCCTTGTGAGTGTCCAGGCCCGCGGGGGCACGAGGTGGCCTGGGCGAAGGAACTGGCTTCTGAGTCCGGGCGCGGCCTCCCCATCCGGCTCTGGGCGGCTCATTCCCCTGATGGGGCCGTCCCCGCGTCTGTAAGAGGATCCCGGAGACCCCGCCACGGCACGCTGCAGGGCGGGGTGAGCCAGTGCTTGCGCAGGGCTCAGTGGGGCCCCCCCTCAGTCCTCCCTCGGATGGGACGGTGGTGGTTGGTGCCAGGGCCTGGGCAGGCCGAGCCTCCCTCCTGTGCCCCCACCTAGGCACGTGGCAGGCACCGTGGCCTCGGGGTCAACCCAGGCCAGACAGGTCCCGCCCGGCTCCTTCGCCAAAGAGGTCCTGTGAGCAGGGACGCTGTCTGCCCCGGGGGCGTCCAGAGCCTGACTCTAACCCTAACCCCCATCCTCCCTGCCTCCCCCCAGGGGCCCCTAAAGTATCCTGAAAGGGCCAGGCCAGCTTATGCAGGGCCCCCCTACAGACAGGAAAGCCCAGGACAGGGGAGGCAGGCGGCCACGGCTTCCTGTGGCCCTGAAGTCAGGCTGCAGACCCGGCGGGTGGGGGAAGGGGGCCTGCCCGGCGCCCAGAGCTGGCGAGGCCAGTGGTGTGGGGACCGGTGGCCGTGCAGCGAATGCCGAATGAGACGGCGATCAATTACGCGCCAGCCGCAGCCTGAGAGCCCAGCATACCCAGACGCAGGGGAAATGAATTGGCGGCTCTGCTGAATAATTCATTGGAGGATGAGTGCGTGGCCCCAGGGGAAGGCCGAGAGGCGCTGTCCTCGGCTCGGGTCTGGCCCCGCCCCACCCTCACCTGGAGACCACTCTTCTCCCGATTGTCCGGCCACCGCATGGGCTGGGGCAGAGAGGACTGCCGGCCCCATGAGCTGGTCTGCAGAGCCCCCCGCAGCCCCCACAAGCCCCCCTCCCCCCTCCCCCCACAGGTTTAGCCGGCAGTGGGGGTTGGGGCACAGCCCAGAGTTGGCAAGCCCAGGCCGAGGGCCGGGAAGGGGGACGTGGACTCCCCTGGTACCTGATCTGACAGGTGGACCCCATCTTGAGGGGCACCCCTGGAGCTCTGGGAGATGAGCTTCAAGTGAGGCGCCCTGGCAGGGAGCACCCAGGTGTCAGGACCCGCAGCCTCCACACCCCGGGACACGGTGATGGGGACAGACGCCCAGGTCTGCAGGGAGAGTCCGGCCTGGCCCCCCTACCAGGCCCGGGCGGATCTGCTCCGTGGCCCCTGACTCCGGGTCGTGGGGACGGACGCTCCAGCACAGCCACAGTCAGCCCCCTGAAGGTGTTACAGTGACAAGCTGGCCCCAGGGCCCGGCCGAGTGGGGCAGAGCAGTTGGCGGAGGGGTGGACGCAGGCGGGGGTGTCCCAGCTCCCCGTCACAGCCACTTGCCCCGTGGGCCCAGGCCAGCTCCACCAGGGCCCATCGGCACCAGGCCCCCACCCGCATTTCCCTGGGAGACAAGAGTCAGGGCCCCTGCCAGGCCCTCCAGCCCAGGGTGCTGCCCCTCCCGACGGTGGGAAGGCAGTGGCTGGGTTTGCGTTTGGGAGGATGCAGAGCGTGTCTCAGGGGGAGGGCTAATTAGCGCCGGAGCTGTGTTCCGGACGGAAGCCCATCTGGTTCCTAGTGGGCTTCGGAAAAGGCTGGTCCCGACAGCCCCACTGCCTGCCTGCTGGCTGCCCCAGCCCTCCAGGGGGTAGGGGTAGGGGCGGGGGCGGCCCTTCCTTTCCGAAGGGCGGGCGTTCGTGGCCGGAGCAGGCATGGGTGCTCTATTCACCCCAGCCCTTTGGGGCACCTCGTGCACCCGTCATCATGTCCCAGCTCAGTGTGGCGTGGGGTGTAAGGAGGTGATGGATGGCTCAGGCCTCTGCGGTGGGAAGGGAGGCCTCAGGGGGCAGGGGAATTCAGAGGCCTGGACTGTGCCAGGAGACCAGCACCCGGAGCAATCATGGAAGTCTTCCTGGAAGAGGTGAGCTTCCAGTTTGTCTTTGAAGGAATGACATGGCAAGGGGAGGGCATTCCGCTTGGGGGGGCAGCATGGGGAAAGACACAGCAGGGGTGGTTAGGTGGGTGGAGGCAATGCGGTTAGGGTGCCGGGGAAGGCAGAGCCCGGCCAGGCCCGTTGTCACGGGATACCCTTCTCCTCTGTCCTCTACCCAAGGGGCTCTGCTGGCCCGGAGCTGGCCCTGTGGGCCCACGGCTTCCCCTGGCCAGGAGCCCGGCGGCTTGGGTTTCCTGAAAGGCACGGACATTCTGGGGAAGTGCCCAGAGCACCCCTCACACGTGGCCACACCTGGCCGCTCTGCCCGGGCCCGGCTCTGCCTGCCCCACTGCCCGTGTCCACAGACAGAAGCAGAGGGCACCTCCGCGGCCAGCCCTGCACGCTCCGCAAGCCCAGAGCTGGGGCCTCTGGCTTATCCTTCAGGACCCCTGGGAACAGGAGTGGCGCTGACAGCCATTCTCGGGGTGGGGGGGTCCCCGCCAGTGAAGTCTGGGGAACCACTGTCACCGGGCACCTAGGAGAGCCGGCCCCACCGTCGGGGAGCTCGCCTGGCGGGGGGAGGATGGCGGAGAAGGGGGGCCTTCGGACACCCCTCAGCAGCAGGGCCAGGCCCGCCTGGGGGGCTTCATGGAGACCCTCTCGGTGCAGGTGGAGGATGCCCTGCTGGACACCTACGATCTGGTGTATGACCAGGCGGTGATGAGCCCGTCCAGCGCCCGGCGGCAGGAGCTGGCGGCCATCCATGACACGGTGAGTGTGGTGGGGAGGCCGCCCCCACGCCAGGTACCTCTGGGCCGATCAGCCTCCCCATGAGGACTGTGATCCAGGAGATGGGCTCAGGGCGGCCCCGCCAGGGGCTGAGCCGGGGTCCCGGCCACAAGCCATGGATGCCACCGGGACAAGAGCTCAGTCCTCCTCCCTGGGCCTGGGCAGGGCCGCTACCGAACTCGTGGGTCCAGAACAAAGTGCAAGGCCCCGCCCATGGGGGGCCAGGCTGCCCAGTCGCCCTGCGCCCCGTCCTGGTCTCTGCCAGACCCTGCCTAGTCACTTGGCCTGTGCCTCGGTTTCCCCCCTGTCACACGGGAGTCCTGGGGTCCTGAGAGCCCCCTCTGTCTGCCCTTGCAGTTCCTGTGCTGTGGGAAGAGCTCTCCTTCCGGCCTCCTGGGCAGCGTGGAGGCCGAGCTGTGCCGCGGACAGGAGGCGGCCACACAGGTGAGGGGGAGCCCCACACAGGCGACCAGGGCCTCTGCCACCCCTTAGCCTCCCCCAGACCCTGGGGGACCAGCCCCCTGCTGGGCTCAGGGAGGGCTGCGGAGGGAGAGGAGGCTGCAGGGGGGTGGCTGGGCGGGCATGCCTGACCCCGGCACTGGCCGGGTCCTCCTCCACTGGACGCGGCCCCAGGCTCCATTGCTCCTTCATTCCTCCAGCTCCCAGCTGGCAGGCTCCCCGGGGCCAGGCGCAGCGCCAGGCGCCAGACCCGCCCTCAGAAGCCTCCAGAGGCGCGGGGGTTGGGGGTGATGGGGCTGAGGGTGCAGAGCAGAGGCGGTCAGCCTGGGGGAGGGGGAAGGGGGGACACAGGCGTCCTCAGGGCCCCCGGAGGAGCTGGAGGGCCAGCCTGCCAACCTGGCTACAGAGGCTCCGAGACCAGAGGCAGGAAGCCCCTCCTTCCCTAAGGCCCAGAGCGGGGCCTGGCACCCTTCCTCCTGGCGGCCTACCCCCCCCCCACTACCCCCACCAGGAAACAAACCCACCCCATCACTCGGCTCCTGGCCGCTCTCCAGGAAACAGGCAGGAGGATGCAGATGGCGGGGCCAGGGAGGGAGGCTGCCCCAGCACCTTCCCCCCGTGGGGCTGCCTGCTGGAGGGGCAGGGGCTGAGAGCCGGGGGGCTGGTTCCTGCCGCCCAAGGAGAAGGAGGCCTGCGTTCCTCAGGCACCTTCCCGGCCTGTGGGTGGGGACACGGGCAGCACGGGAGGTGGGCACGGGCGCTGGGCCTGCCGTCTGCAGAGCCACCCCGGCGGGAGGGCGGGCGGGCAGGCATGTGTCCCGGACAGTGGTCTGCCCAGGGCTGCCTTCCCAGAGAAGTGGGGCCACATGGGGAGACGGGGCTGATTAGGGTTCATTTTCTTTTTTATATATTTTTATTGACGTCAGAGAGGAAGGGGGAGGGAGAGAGAGAAACATCAATGATGAGGGAGAATTACTGATCAGCTGCCTCCTACACGCCCCACACTGGGGATCGAGCCGTGACCTCCTGGTTCATAGGTCGATGCTCAACCCCTGAGCCACGCCGGCCGGGCCAGGGTTCATTTTCCCGAGGAGCACCCCGGCCAGGCTGCAGGGCTGCGCCCAGGGATCGGGGTGGCTTCCTGGGTGGGACAAACCGGCTGCCCCAGGAGCCAGGGGCCCCGACTTCCAGGGCAACCGAAGTCACCCCGTCACCAAGTGTGAGCCGGCCTGGGCTCTGGCCCAACACAGCAGGCAGGCCCTGTCGAGTGAACGTGTGGACAGAGGGGCAGACAGACAGCCACCGAGTCAGCCTCCCCTCCCTCCTCACCCCGACTGCCGCCCTCGCCCCTGGCCTCCGCGGGCACTGCAGGCCCCTGGTGGGCGGGCGGGCGGGCGGGCGGTGGGGCCACCTCGCTGCCTCCTCGCAGGACTGCCTGCAGGGCGTGAGGAGCTTCGTGAGGACACACGGACACATCGCCTCCACCCTGACCAGCGTCGGCCTCGCCACCATGGTACCCGCTCGCCCGCCCCACTGCCCCTCCCACCCGGCGGGAAGGGCAGGGCCGGCCCCAGGCAGGTGGCCTTGGTGGAGGTCCCGCCTCTCCCCGTTCCCGAGACAGGGGGTTCCTGTGGACCCATCACTTCCTGGGGAGGCTCCTGGGGCTGCGGGGGGTTGGGGGGGGGTCCCGGAGCCGCTGGCTCAGGCGCCGCCCTCCCAGGTGTACGCGATGCTGCTCAGCTCCTTCCTCTGGTTCGCCATCCGCTCCGGCCGCAGCTTGGACCGAAGAGGGACCTATGCGCTGAGGCCCCGGTAGGCCCCCCGCCCCGCCCCCCGCGTGGACCCCAGAACCAAGGGCCAGGCTGATGCTCTAGAAGACGCCCCGGCCACATGGAGGGGGGGAGGGAGGGAGGGAGGGAGAGGGTGCTGGAGAAGGTGCCAGACCCACACGCATGTCACTCTACCGGTCTGCGGGCACAGTGACCGCCTCTCCCCGGGGGTCCCCAGCCGCACCAAGACCTGACCTCACAGGCGCCCTGTCCACCAGCAACGCGAGACGGGGTCTCCCGGCCCCCAGATTCCAGCCCCGGGCAGGGCCTGTGACCCTGGGCAACCCCGGGCCCCCCAGGCAGGGGGAGCAGGGAGGACACAGGCCCAGCAGCCGGCCCTGCTGGCCACTTCCTCCGCTCACCCCGCCTGGTCCCTCCCGGCCACTGGGTCCCTCGCTGCCCCGGCATCTCGCCTGCCCCTCCGGGTCCCAGCACAGCCTCCTGGCGCCTCTGCTTCTCAGGCCCCGAGGCCGCCAGCCCCAGGAGCCCGGCTTCTTCCGGCGATCCGGGAGGAGCCCCACCCTTCGCCACCTGGTCGACCTTCGGGGCCCAGGAGGACCCACGGGGGACCCTCGGCTGCTCCAGGACAACTGATGCTGCCTCATGCCGGCGGGCGCCCACAGAGGTGACGAGGCCCAGCCGCCCCGTCCCTCACTGAGATGAGAGCCGCGCCCTCCACCTGGAGGCGGGACGGGGACGGGGAGGCCCCATTTCAGACTCAGGAGTCAGGCTGGGAATTGAGTCCGAACAGGGGAGCCAGCCCTGGCCAGTGTGGCTCAGTGGATAGAGCGTCGGCCTGTGGCCTGAAGGGTCCCAGGTTCGATTCCCGGTCAGGACACGTGCCTGGGTTGCGGGCACATCCCCAGTCGGGGGCGTGCAGGAGGCAGCCGATCGGTGATTCTCTGATCATTGATGTTTCTCTCTCTCCCTCTCCCTTCCTCTCTGATCAATAAAAATATGTTCTTTAAAAATTCTGTAAAAATGCATATGGCAGCAGGAAAGGGCATTTTGCCAGAAGCTATAGGCTGCTCTTCCCGGGCCTGGCCCCAAGGTCACGTACTCACAGCCCCCCCCCCCCAAACACACACACTCCCTTTCCAGGTGGGGTGACCCCGTCTTCGTTTCAGAGGGAGCCAAGGCATCAACACCTTCCTCTCTCTGCCTTCCGGTGGCTTCTGGCTAGTGAGTGCTTCGGTGGGTTGGTTTTTACCTTCAAGTGGACGTTTCCAGACAGAAAAGTAGTAACAGTCACACGATGGAGGGTTCCAGGTGTTCCCAGGGAGGGTTCCGGGTGTTTCTATGAAGGGTTCTGGGTGTTCCTGGGGAGGGTTCCGGGTGCAGGATAGTTAACGTTGGCGAGGAACGTGACCATGATGACAACTCGGGGATCTGTGGTCTCTGCTCTGGAGCCGCGGCCGGGCCCCGAGGGATCCGGGGAAAAGGAAAATCACGTCGCTTTTCCAAAGGCGCGTCATCAGGCAGGCTCAGCGGCGGCGACGATGGGCCTTCGGAGGGAAGACGCCGGCCGAGGACAGGGCGGCCGCCTGAACTGCTTCTGGTTAGAACGTCTTCATTCAGACCATCCTGTGTGGTTACTTATATTTTTATATTTTTTATTGATTTTTATTTCATTTTTTAGAGAGCGAGGAAGGGAGAGGGATAAAGAGATGGAAAGGTTGATGAGAGGGGACATCCATCGGCTGCCCCTGCACGCCCCCCGCTGGGGACCGAGCCTGCAGCCCGGGCCTGTGCCCCGACCAGAGTCGAACTGGGACCTCCCGGCTCCTAGGTGGGCGCCCCACCCCTGAGCCGCCGGCTGTGTGGTTACTTCCAGTCTCTGAGTCTGTAAGGCTGCCAAGCCGGCCGGCCGGTGAGAGCAATGACCTTAACGCAGCGGTTCTCAACCTGTGGGTCGCGACCCCTTTGGCGGTCCAACGACCCTTTCACAGGGGTTGCCTCAGACCATCATATGTAATGACATATTGTTTTTGTGATCAATCACTATGCTTTCATTATGTTCAATTTGTCACAATGGAAATACATCCTGCATATCAGATATTTACATGACGATTCATAACAGTAGCAACATGACAGTTATGAAGTAGCCACGAAAATAATTTTATGGTTGGGGGTCACCACAGCATGAGGAGCTGTGTTAAAGTGGCGTTAGGAAGGTTGAGAACCGCTGCTTTAAAGAAACCTCCCAGCGAAAAACCAAGATGGCGGCATAGGTAAACACCGGAGTTTGCTGCCTCGCACAACCACTTCAAAAATACAACTAAAAGACGGAACGGACATCACCCAGAACCACAGGAAGGCTGGCTGAGGGGAAGTTCTACAACTAGAAGGAAAGAGAAAAGCACACTGAGACTCAGAGGAGGCGCAGTGCTGAAGTAAAATACAAAGGTACAGAGGCGCATGCGGAGAAGGCTGGCGGTTGTCTGTTTCAATCGGGAGGGAGTCTCAGGCTCTGAGCTCCAGTTCCGGGCTAGTCTCTGGGGACCCAGACTCAAACGGGAGAAGCGGGACTGTGGCATCGGTCGGAACTTGAGGGCAGCTTTCTCTCGGAGGCACGCACAGCGATTGCCAGGACCTCTGAAGGCAGGACTGAGAGCAGCCATACTGCTCGCTCTGCCCGCCCTGTTGATCCCCTGGGACCCCGCCCTGCCCAAGCCATGCACGGAGGCTTTTGCATATGAAAGGCCCAGTCCTTTGTAATCTGAAAATTACTTAACAAACTGCAGCTGCCCAAGGCCCCAGGGCAACTTGCATTGCTTTACAGCTGGCTTCTGCAGGGTAGCCTCAGGCAGAGACTAAATTAGCACCTCCTTAGATCCAAGAGCCAGTGTACCCAGAGGTCAGAGTGGGACCATCCAGATTACAACTCCTCAGATCCATAAGGGACACACTCAGGGGGCAGACTCAGTGAGCACCAAAGCCCCACTGAAGCAAGTCTTGCCCCAGAAGGGTGTCTCCAGCACAGAAGTCCTCCCACTATAACCACAGCTGATTCTCACAGCCAATTGGCCTGGAGGTCAATTCCTCCCAGTGATACCTACAACAATCAAGGCATAACTACAACAAGACTGTGCACAAAGCCCACAAGGGGGTGCACCAAGAGTGTCCACCTCAGGTAACTGGGGAGGCTGAGCCACTGGGCCCTATAGGACACCAAGCACAGAAAGCCACTCTATCGACACAGGGAAGCATAAAAAATGCGGAAACAAAGCAACAGGTCACAAATGACAGAAATGGAGGAAAGCAAACTACTGGATATAAAGTTCAAAACCACACTTTTAAGGTTTTTCAAGAACTTTCTAGAAACCGCCGATAAATGTAGTGAGATCCTCAAGAAATCTAGTGAGACCCTCGAGGTTGTGATAAAGGACCAACTAGAAATTAAGCATACACTGACTGAAATAAAGAATATTATACAGACTCCCAACAGCAGACCAAAGGAGCGCAAGAATCAAGTCAAAGATTTGAAATGCAAGAAGCAAAAAACACCCAACTGGAAAAGCAAAATGAAAAAAGAATCCGAAAATACGAAGATAGTGTAAGGAGCCTCTGGGACAACTTCAAGCGTACCAACATCAGAATTATAGGGGTGCCAGAAGAAGAGAGAGAGCAAGATATTAAAAACCTATTTGAAGAAATAATGACAGAAAACTTCCCCCACCTGGTGAAAGAAATGGACTTACAAGTCCAGGAAGCTCAGAGAACCCCAAACAAAAGGAACCCAAAGAGGACCACACCAAGACACATCATCATTAAAATGCCAAGAGCAAAAGACAAAGAGAGAATCTTAAAAGCAGCAAGAGAAAGACAGTCAGTTACCTACAAGGGAGTACCCATACGACTGTCAGCTGATTTCTCAACAGAAACTTTGCAGGCCAGAAGGGAGTGGCAAGAAATATTCAAAGTGATGCATAGCAAGAACCTACAACGAAGATTACTTTATCCAGCAAAGCTATCATTCAGAACGGAAGGTCAGATAAAGAGCTTCACAGATAAGGAAAAGCTAAAGGAGTTCATCACCACCAAACCAGGATTATATGAAATGCTGAAAGGTATCCTTTAAGAAGAGGGAGAAGAAGAAAAAGGTAAAGATACAAATTATGAACAACAAATACACATCTATCAACAAGTGAATCTAAGAATCAAGTGAATAAATAATCTGGTGATCATAATAGAATCAGGGACATAGAAAGGGAATGGACTGACTATTCTTGGGGGGGAAAGGGGTGTGGGAGATGCGGGAAGAGACTGGACAAAAATCGTGCACCTATGGATGAGGACAGTGGGTGGGGAGTGAGGGCGGAGGGTGGGGCGGGAACTGGGAGGAGGGGAGTTATGGGGGGAAAAAAGAGGAACAAATGTAATAATCTGAACAATAAAGATTTAATTAAAAAAAAATTAAAATAATAAAATTAAATAAAGAAACCTCCCTCTGCAGGAGAAACCGAATGCTTGGTGCAGGACATCCCAACACAGCTCCAGGCCTTGCCCGGGCACCGGTACCCTTTCTGCACGAAGCCCCTACACGACGTTCCTTTTAAAAGGGGGCGTGTGCCCCGGCCGCGTGGCTCTATTGGTTGAGCGTCGCCCTGGGCACTGAAAGGTCGCCAGTTCGATGCCGGGTCAGGGCCCGGGCCCGGGTTGCGGGTTCCGTCCCCCGTTGGGATGCGTATGGGAGGCAACCGGTCAATGTTTCCCTCTCACATGGATGTGTCTCTCTCCCCCTCTCCCTTCCTCTCTCTCTAGAATCAAGTTTTAAAAATAAAAGGGGGGGCTTATAATTCCACGTAGGAGCCCCTGCAATTCTCCTGTCCTTCCCGTAAAGACACCCAGTGGAACAGGATGGAGGTTTGCACCAGACCTCGGAGCTATAAATAGGCTAGTTAATCCCCAACATCCTGGGGCTCCAAATCCGTGTACCTGATTAGCGGCCCGTCCTGGGCCTGCCGGTGTTTTTCGCTAATAGGCTTACGTGGCGTTAGCTCCGCATTCCGGTGGGAAGACGGTCCATGCCGCTTTGCCTCCACCTGGGAAGATTACAAGTTTGCTCTCCTCTGTCCGGCACCAGCATACGGAGAGTCCCGCCTACTGCCTTAGACCAAGCGTGTCAAACCCAAAGGCTCCCACGGGCCAAACCAACAAGGTTTACGTGGATGTGGCCGCAAAAAACCAAAAGCTTCAATCTTCACAGAAACGTCGGTTTATTCCGATAGAGACACGCTGAATGCAAAGGGCTGACATAAACGAGTCACCGTTCACATAAAATAACAGAACATTGTAATAAAAAGTAACATTTTTTCCTGAACATTCACTTACCAGACACTGACTAACTGCACAAATTAATAAGCATCACGCAAATAAACCTATTTTTCTTGTGCTCTGAAAGCGAAATATTTCCTGTTGCGCACACCCAACAAGTCAGTACTAGTGGCCATCGGCCGCTAAAACATTCGCTGCCGGTGTCAGTGGAGAGAAATGGTGCGCCTGCGCGTGAGGCACGTGAGGGGAATGAATGCAACGCGAGGACAGTCATCAGTCATTCGCGAACGTTGTAGCTCGTTATCAATAATTATATATGACAGGATATTGTAAAATTAAGTTAGAAATTTTTATTAAGACGTTTCTTACATATGTTATATCGGCTGGGCCGCAAAAACCTTCCTTGAGGGCCGAGAGTTTGACATGCTTGCCTTAGACACTGAACGCTGCCCTAAGTGATGCTAAATTCCCTAGATGTTCCACTCGAATCCCACCCGTGAGCTATTTAGCTTTATGCTCTAGAACAGCGGTTCTCAACCTGCCTACTGCTGCGACCCTTTCATACAGCTCCTCATGCTGTGGTGA